GGGTTGGTCTGTTAAAATGGGGAGTGAAGAAGCTGTTTCATAACAGTGGATTTTGGAAGCCAGGAAAGTAGGGAGAAGAAATCAATGAAGTAGGGAGAAGAAATTAAGGAAGTAGGAAGCCATTGTCACTTGCCGCCGACCGTTATTATTGAACTTTACACTACATTCATTTTAATTCAAATCAAATAAAAAAAAACCATTCACTTGAATTTACTTTACACTCATATAAATAACTCTAAAGTATACACAGTTTTCTTTGGTCTCTTGGTTGGGTGCTTTGGCTACTAACTAAGAGGTTTTGAGTTTGAGTCATACGTATGTGTTGTGTGTGTGAGTCCGGGCACTGTCCGTTAATTCTCTCTCTCTCTCTCTAAAAAAAAAACTCCAAAGTATTCATTTTACACTGCATTCCTTTTTTAGTCAATAAAACAAACCCCCTTTAAACTGAACCATGGAGTTGCTTCAAGAGTCTTGTCCAGTCCGACGGGCAATCATGATTCATCTATTTTTAACTTCCTACGGCTTGCCCTATGAGTTGGGCAATTAGTGTCGTTGCCGCAATGCTCTAGCGTTGATCAAAGGTCCCGCTATTTGGGGTGAGCTTTCATCCTCTTCTCTCTAATATCCCATTTCATCTACAGATAGGTGCAACACTGCTTCATTTTTTCCTTAAGTCCATACTGTCTTTGCTCATCAAATCTCAAGTCAGAAAACATGACTCATCCGCTATTCTTATAATTGAAACATAGCCGTTTTGTTTCTATCAGAGATGTGATGTTGTTTGTATTGCCCATATAAAAAATCTGGTAGATCTAGTGATTTGTTTAGGCCTTGATAAACGAGTGTTACAATTGTGAACGAGCGGAGTGATGTTGCAGCATTTCCTCCGCTTCTTCTGTTGTTATTGTTTTTTTTTTCTCGTATGTGCACACTATTATAGATAAAGTGGGAGCCACCTCTGAGATTCTTTTCATCCTCCCCTATTGTTGAATCGAAGCAACTTCCGTACTTGTTAGCCTCTTTTTTGTGGCCTTTGGACCATGGGAGAGAGAAAGTTGCCGCTGTCACTGGAGAGGAATCCCCCCTGGTAGTTGCATCCGCTTGATATTGTCTTTGGTGATTACTATATTTCCATGCTGGATCTTTTCTATGACCTGACTCAGCTTTATCCTTACTTCTTACCATCATTTATGAGAAGAATATATTAGTGCAATATATTAAACCCCTAAACATAATGCTTCACTTATTCTATATTAAGAAAACTTATACAAGCATGCATTCATTAAAAAGCAGACTAACACTTACAACTACTACTAAAGTTGATGAATACAACAATATACCGGTCTGCTGGGGGTCAAGGGGGCGCTGCCCCCTGGCGGGGTTCGACCTGCCCGGTCAAGGGGCAGCACTCCTGCGGGGGTTTCTTTGCTGACTTCTTTGAAGTAAATTTGCAAAATATATGTATGCTCATTTGCATTTATCCATCATTATATTTTTGAAGAGCCAACTGAATTATACATGCATACCATAATTTCTTGAATTTCTATGTTGAACTTTATAAACTAATTTGGAATTGATTGCCATTTGATTAGGGTTTTTGGAGCTGTTAAATAAAAAATTCCATCAATGGCCATACGTGCTCTCTTTCAAGCAAAAAACTCCAATATCTCCGCATCCATTTTTGCAATCCTTGCAAAACCTCTTCATCAATTTTCTCATCCTCTTAAATGCAAGTGCTTATATGGAGAACTTGTTTTGAAAGAGCCAATCATGGAGCTACAACAACGCCTCTACCATGATGGGAGGCCGAGGGGTCCCCTATGGAGGGGAAAGAAGCTACTTGGGAAGGAGGCGCTCTTTGTGATACAGGGAATGAAGAGGTTCAAGGACAATGACGAGAAGCTTGCCAGGTTCATCAAGTCCCATGTCTTGCGGTTGCTGAAACTGGAGAAGATCACAGTGCTCAATGAGCTTGAGCGGCAACAAGAGGTCGGATTGGCACTCAAGGTATGCTTTTGACAATAAATGTGGTTTGTTATTTTCTTTAATGTTAAGAGTTTCAGAGTTTGTGGGTGAGTTAAGGGTTTTCCGATTCAATTCCAATCATCTATAACTATTTTATTAAAATAATATGTTGCTTGATTATTTATGGGAGCAGCAACATGCGTCTGCCATAGTATTCATGAGTAATTCACTCTGTTACTTTTTCATTCATCACAAACATTCTGTTTTTGTAGACATCATGTAAATAAGCTATTAAGGTCAAGATTTCAGGTGAAAGTCTCTTTTTTGTTGTCTTAGCATCAGTATGTTTCTTTTTTAATTTTCTTTATATCTATTTATAATTTTGGGGAAATGATTTTTTGTTCTGTTGAAGGTTGTCTCTTGATAAATAAACTCTAGTATTCTTAATCAATGATTTACTTTCCTAAGTTTGTGAAATTGGATGGGTAAACATCAAAATATGAGTTGTACATTTTCTCTTATGGAGTAGATGACAATCTTAATCCTCAATTTATGCCTTGAAGTTGGCAATCTTATGACTAGGATTTCTCTGTATTGCAAATAAGGGTAAACCTAAGGTTATTTGGATAGAAGTTGTTCAAAATAATTTTCTAAATTATATTTAACTCCTTGTACAACAATCAACAAGAATTAGTGAAGCATAGAGGATTCATGATGTTGACATCACATAGTTGAGATAAGGGCCATAAGGCTAATGATAGTGTCGATGCTGTTGCCATTGCAATATATATATATATATATAATCAAGCTAAACAACTTAAAAGCACTAAAACTAAATTGCTCAATTAGTTGTGATTATTAACATAATCAAGTGCAACAAATAAATGCTTCTTCATATGATATATTCTACAAGTTGTAATGCACCATCAACAGAAGATTTATTGACATTATCATTCAACTTATCAGCAAACTTGACTTTGGTTCCTGCTTGATTTATTTATTTTATAATATCATCTAATCATGTACTTGCTTTAATGAAGAAGATTTCTGCTACGAAGTCTTTTTTGTATGAAAAATCCCTTTTTGTTTTCTTTCCTTGATATTTTTTATCATATAGCTTGTAAACCCCTCTTTATAATCAGGGGTACATATAAGTGTGATTGTTAATAATTAATAGTGCACTATGATTCAAGTCTCTTGGAGCTATAATGTATATTGCATTTGTAGCACATATTGTTTTGAAAGATGTGCAAGTCATATGAAAATCATAAATATTTACTTATAATTTAACAATATAAGTGGAAATTATTCTAAAAGAGAAAATAGAATCAATATGCATAATTAGAATGTTAAGTTCAATTTAACATACATGACAACATGAAGGTTAATGAATATCTATGATGCACCGACACTTCTCCTCAAAGAGGCGTGCAGTGTCCGACACGACACTCGTCCGACACTCCTCCGACATGTGTCGGACACGCCAAAAACGTGTCCGATTAAAAAATATTAAATGCAAATTGGACACGTATGTCAGACACGCGTCTTAAATATTTCATGAATATTTTTAAATATAATTTCGTGTCTGACACGCGTAACTAAATTTCTTATTTCCTATCCACAACACCAAATCAACATCCGCACTTAATTCCCAATCATCGAATATTCTCATTTTCATTTCTTTTTGGCAGTGAAGATATTTTCATCTCCTCTCTCTGTGACTGATAAATGGCATAGACGCCTGACTCTTGACGCCTGAAATATTAATTGTTGTTTTTTGAAACTTACAAAAAAAACTAACGTACATGCTCGGTACCGCTAGGTATCGCTAGGTACATGCTTGGTACCGTTAGGTATCGCTCGGTACATGCTTGGTACCGCTAGGTATCGCTAGGTACATGCTTGGTACCGCTAGGTATCGCTAGGTACATGCTTGGTACGTACTGCTAGGAATATGCTCGGTACCACAGTATCTTCACATACAAATAACTTACGAACTTTAAAAACAAGCAGAACTTCAAGTATCATCCTCTTCTTGTTGTGAGAGAAATTAGAGCACATACTCATTTATTCAATCAATGAAGAGGAATAAAATAATTCCACAACGAGCTGAAGATTTAGTTTATGTGTATACAAATTTTCTTCTTTTATCAAGGAGAATCCCACTTTATATAATATGTGATAACAAGATGTGGGATGTTGCTGGAGATGGGTTTGAGTGCCTTGAGGATATGAGATTATTGGAGGTTGCAAATCTTTCTCTAGATGAACCAGAGTTGGAAGCAGTGATATTCAATGATGATGATATTGAATGCCAAAGATCAACCTCTGAATTTAATTCTATCATTCCCTCTATTGAGTAGTTGGACCTTCATGTTGTACTAAATTGTTTTTTTCTTATATTTTGTTGTTGTACTAGACATTTTGTACTAAACATATTTATGTTATAAGTTAAACAAGTTATCATGAAATTGATTTATTATTGCTTGTCATTTTTAATATAATGTTACCTTAATTTCTATATATTATATTAAAAAATTATTATACCGTGTCCGCGCCGCACCCGTGTCCTATATTTTTAAAAAATGCCGTGTTCTGTGTCCGTGTCGGTGCATCGTAGATGAATATATTAAGATTGAAAAATAAACTTTCAAATTAAAGAAGTAATTAAATTTTCAAATAAAACCATGATTGATGTAGATATGCATACTATTATAATAAGCACTAAACTTTGGAGCTTAGGCTCAAAACATGAGAAATAGTATGTTTAAAAATCCCATATTCATCGAAAGCTGAGGTTGTCATATAGGAGTTTTTCTCATCTTTCATAAATTAGATTAGCCTCATCTTTTTCTAACTATTTTCTTCAAAGTCAAAATCTTCGTCATCTTCATCATTCTTTTTGTTCATCTACAAGTTTCTTAGGCCTAGATGAAGATTTGAAGATTCATCTTCTGTTATTTTTTTTTAGTTTTATTGTCATAGTTTCTTTCATAGACATCACTAGTTCTTTCAATTACACTTTGTATCAACTCTTTCTTTACAAGACACAAATTCATTCTCTTTGTCTTGCTTATCATCAAATTCATCAGTTAATTATTCATTAGCATCATTGATGTCATTCAAAAATCACTTAAAAATTGAAACAAATAATATGGAGTGTTTCGCACATAGCAGAAATTATTGCAAGTAGTGCACACTATTTTGTCTTTCTAGCCAAGCTATCGGAATCACGCAAGAGGTGTGTCTTGGTGCACTAGTTGGTGTATTGTGCACTATTTTGTGCTTCTGACAGATATACGTGTCAGTTTTATGGATGTATGATATGATGAATTTCAAGATCAGCAAGTCAAGCTTCCTGTTCCCTCCCCTTGGGTTTCGAAGGCCTTCTTTTGCTCTTACCTTTTTTTTTTCATATCATTTCCCCCTCCATCCTCTCTCTCTCTCTCTCTCTCTCTCTCTCTCTCTCTCTCCATAGGTTTACACATTCTCCAAAGATTACCCACATAAGAATCAAGAGGAAGAAGAAAACTTTTGCTATAACTCTATCAAGTGATATTAGAGCAAAGCCCTACATAGGTCCTGGTTGGGTAACCATGTTGTACTCGGACGGGCTTCGCCCACCGACACCCACCCATGGTGACTTTCGAGATGTTGTATCCACCTATACCCCCCCACTTTCGATGCTTTTTGAACGCAGTCTGCCATGGATTGATAGCCTCGAGGCTTGCTACCCTTTGCTCTAATTGTAAACTTTCAAGCCGCATATCAGAATTTACCGTAATCACAACGTGGTTAAGTGCAACACACTACGTAGTGAGGATTGCAGTAATATAAGATATATGGTGATTAGCAATGTAAATCGATTTATCCCTCGATATTGAGTACACACTCACAAGGTCATGGGCGTACCCATACCCACCCATATCCATTGGATATGGGTGGGTACATGGGTGGGTGTGGGTATGGGTACCCAATGCAGGGTTCTGTATTAGAGCTATCTTTGACTCTTTGGCAAGATGATTCAACGTTCAAAGAAGTCTCTGTTGTTTTAGAACGTTTCTATGGCAGCAATAGAATGCCTCATGTTGTTCCATTGTACTCCCCTTTGTTTTAAACATGCATTATTTTTCTTTTGATGATTTTAGCATATTGAGTCTATTCATTTATGATTCATGCTGCGTCTTAATACTGAAATCTACATGTATCCTTATATATACAAGCTGAAATCTGTTTAATGATTCTGCTTCTGTTTTCATACTAAAATTTGCATGCATTTTGAAATGCGCACGCTAAAATCTGCCTTAATGATTCTTGCTGCGTATCTCCATGTTGAAATCTGCATTTGATGATGTTTGTGTTGGAAATAATGTCCATATTTAGCACAAACCGTATGGTAGCTCAATGATGGAATTTGATTTAGGGTTGATACAAAACGTGGAGGAATAAAACCCATTTGGAAACTTGTATTTGACAGGATCCCTGTTACTGATTCCAGTCCATTATTGCAGCATTAATGTTTTATCCTTCCAGAAATTATTAATGCGGAGAATTCAAACACATGGCGATGACTACCAGATGGGATCATATCATCAATAGTTCAATACCAGAAGAAGGAGATCTTACTTATAAGATTTGGAAATTAGAAAATAATATCGTGATGTCATGGCTTATCAAATTCATGACTATTAGGAGAATATTTACTCTCTATTTTGCCAATGTAATTTTGGAAGCTAAAAAAAAAAAAAACTAACTCAAAATTTGAGAGCATATGAAAGCTCTTCTTTGTGGAGAAAATCCTCCATGAACTATGATAATGTGACTTATAAATTATTCAATACGTATAAGTTATTCAATACTTCAACTTTCTTAAGTATCAATAGCAACAACTGGGTCTAAACGCCCTGGTTATAAGGCACTATATAAATTGATCATCGAGTAGAAATAAGTGTTTTAAGTTTCTCATGGAACTAAACAATGATCTTTATTAGTTGTAGGCACAAAATCTCTTCCTAATATTAGGGAGATATGTTTGAAGTTTC